GTTTCCTAAAATTCCACTTTCATCTTGTTGTTCTCTGACTTAACATTCCACCATGGCTCCCATGATCAATTGCAACAAGGTGTAAAATCTTAGAATGTTGGCATATGAAATATTTCACCTTATCATATTGTAGAGGAATGGCATTTTTAAAAAAAACCCTCAGATTTGCATTCCTTTTGTCATGAAACTGCCAGGAATAAGCTGGGTTTGCAGTGGCTGAATGGTTCTTTTTCTTCCGGTCCTAAATTGTGTAAGATCTTATTGAAACCAGGGAGGAAATCCTAAATGTCAGTCCATGCTTCAATAATTGCTCATCATCTTTATTAGAGCATTAACACATTACCAAAAAGATACATCTCATAAATTGCAAATGGAAAGGAAATTTTTAGGGGAACAAAATTTGCTTTTGATGAACTTTGTTGTGTTTTAGTTGCTTGAATAAAAATATCAGATCAGTGAAAATTGTTGAAGTCATGGCTAAATCATGACTTTTTATCAGTTAGTTTAATTGGTGATAGCAGCATGCCAATACACTAAGACCATTGAGTAAATTTTTAAATAGGAGAGTCAACTTCATTATATTCTGTTGGAGATGGAATTTCCAAAACCGGCTAGCCTAGTGTTGAATGAGTACCATTTATATAGTGTCTCGGTGGAAAGATCTGGATGGATGATTAACCTGAAATTGCAGTGACTCAGCAGTGGTGTTTTTGTGTTTGGGGAACAGCACATTAAATTATCCTATGTTAACTGGCAAGATGCTAACATTATATGTATTCCATTGATACCACTTTACATTTAAAGAGTTTTTATTGGTTTTAAATTAGTTTTAGCATACGAAATATTTTACTTTATATTAGGATAGGTCCTAATGTTAGCTGGCAAGATGACAACATTTGTATTCCATTGATATTGCTTTACATTTAAAGAGATTTTGCTGGTTTTACTTTAGGAAAATAAATCCTCTTTAATGATTATAACCTTATTTGAAGATGAAGTGTTTTAAAAATCATATAGAAGTTTGATTTCTTTTCATTATGTAGGCTAATTATCTCACTCATCATGCTTCTTGAGACTGTATTAAATCATTAGGCTACAATGTAATTCTGAAATAACTACCCAGAGTTAGTGCATACTTCATAGGTTAAGGGCACAGTTCTCCCCGCAAGGGTACCCTTACTTCATATACCAGCCACAGGTTCAGAGGTTCCCAGGCCACCCACACTTCTGACCAAATGGTTACAAATTTGAGGGTTCCCATGATGCTCTCAGGTTTGATAATTCACTAGAATGACTTATAGAACTCAGGAAAGTGCTATGCTTACTATTACAATTTTCTTATGAAGGATACAAATCAGTATCAGCCAAAAGAAAAGATGCATAGGATAAGGTTGGGAGGATCTCAAATGTGAGTCTTCCCTGTCCTCAGGATGTTTTACCCTTCAGGTACATCATGTATATCACCAACCAGGAAGCTCACCTGAGCCTCAGTGTCCTGAGTTTTTACTGGGGTTTCATTATGTAGGCATGCTTGCTTGATTGAATCACTGGCCCTGTTATTGAACTCAATCTCCAAGTCCCCCAGGCCAATATGAGTGACAAAGACGCTTCTGTTACTCAGGAAATTCCAAGGGTAGAAAGGCTCCCTCTCTGGAACCAGGGACAAAGACCAACCAGATTCTTTATTATATGACAAAGCCTTGTCACTGTATTTTTGTTAGCAACTTTGTAATATTTGCTTCTGTAAGGAAGTAAAGATCTAAGGTCTATTTCTCTTTAACATGACAGATTTATTAATTTCCCAGAAAAAGCCATAGTTATCTAGAAAATCTGTTTATTGTTTGGTATATAAAATCATAAACCATATAATAAATTTCTAGAAGTGGTACCATATTGAAGTATAGTAATTATAAGCATAATAAAGTAGGCTTTGAAAACATAAAAATCCATATTCTTTACAGTCCCATATTTTGATTCACAACTGCTCTAGCCTGATTCCATCTTACCCTTCAGAGTTAAGGTGGAGTCAACGTGTCACCCTTTCTTTTTCTGTTGAAAAGCATCACAGGATCTTCTACTCTGTTTAGTGCCTGAGCCTGTTTTGACTGCTGAGCATTAGGGCTTTCTATTAAGCAAGACTCATTAGTTTTAGAAAGCTTTCAATTAGCCAAACTGCTGTAATTAACTTTCTCACTGAGATTTTCAGTCATTCATGCTAAACAGTGCTGATGGAGCAGAGCATTTTTCTCTGTGCCTCCAACTTATTTGGATCCCAACCAAATGGAAACTGTAGATGAGGAAATAGATACTGTCTGTCTCTCCTCTGCTACTGTGATGGCACGTTGTCCAATCAAAGACACACATCTGTTACTTGACAGATTGTTTTCATCAGGGTTTCCTGTATTTGCACCCTGGTGTCAACAAGTCTTTTATCAGTAGGAGGACCGTATGTCCCTTTTTGCTAGGGTAGTCCAGTTTACTTCCATTGTTTCAGATTAGTAATTAATAGCATTTCCTGTCACTATCAAAAGTGTCTGGTTTGGGCAAAAATTATACAGTCACCTTAGTTTTTGGCTAAGGGAATTCAGTTGTTTTTTTAAGAGAGATGTCTCATTTTTTCCCCAAAACTAATATCATGTTTTAAAAATTTTCTTATTTTTGAAAGTAACTCATACATACCTTTAGAAATTTAAACAATACAGAAAGGGAAAAAGAAGAAAGTAAAAATTACTTAAGAGAATTTCTGAAAAGGTATATTTCTTCTAAAAATAATCTTAACCTGTTTCGAGTACAACAACCATTTTACAAATGGTTGCATGGCAATAGGTTTTATGTTTTAAAAATCAGAATCACAACACCTGGGAGGAAATTTCACATTTTTTTTTTTTCTGAGTTCAGAACCAGTTTCCAAGTGACATTTTATGCAGACGGTTCATCTATAAGATAAGTAGCCATGGATTTGCCGTAGTGATATTGGAGCTGGGCTCCTGAAGCCCCTTCCAACCTGATCTTTGCTTCCTGCAGGGATCCCTGTAGTTGCAGAAAATCTGTTTGGCTCCTCAGCATATGGTCTGGAGTCTAGTTTCAGGAGGAGAATCCTAAGAGATAACAAGTGAAAATATTTTTTCATTGTAAAGCTCTCTTAAAATGCGAGGTTTTACTGTTAACATTAAAGCACATAGGTGGAAGGAGATTCAAGTCCTATCTGAATTCAATTACTAAGCTAGAAACCAGGTCTCCATATGCTCTGCTGTGCTTTTCCAATTCACCCATATGCCTCCCTCCAGTGGATTTTTTTTATCCATGTTAATATTCAAATAGCTGATTTATCATTTAGAGCACTTGTTTTATTTTTAGCTTTCAGTTATGCATTATTGTATTTTTATGTTATTTTTGATATATTTTACTTTTTATATTATACTATTGAGCATTTTAAACATTACTAATGTAAGTAAAACTTTTCATTTGGTTTTAGTGAATTACAATAAAATAGGA